AACCAGTTGATGGAACACCTCTCGGTGTAGTTCCCACTTGGGATTGTCTAATTTTGGCCTGCTGAGCCAGTTGGCTGTAACTTTCAATCTTCCCTTGGATGTAAAGGGAGAGAATTGACTGCAGACTCTCCTTTGCCCAAGTCATCAGGAGGTGAGCTTTTCTCTGAGGGACCATAGAACGCAGTCCTTTTCTGTTGAAATAAGACATTTTGCCTGTCATGATCAGCACAAGAGAAGAGCCCAGACATGGGAGCAGAGCCTCGAGATCATATCAGATTGCCCTGAGCTCTTGCCAGTTTATACTGTGCTTGCTCTCTTGTTTGGACTAGATCCTTGAACAGTCCTTGATCCCGTGTGATAGTTTTATTCCTCCAGGCTTGCATCTATGGCAGTAACTGTCCTGACTACTTTACCTCTTGAAAAGCCTGCTTTGAATCTGCTCAGTCGTCATGGAGAAATTACTGAGGGCTGGATAAGAAATAATGGAGGGAGGGATAAGAGGAATCTCTATAGTGGCCCAATGTGAGCACAGACCCGCATGAGAGGGGCCTGAGTCTACACAGAACAGGCACAGATCTCCCTGCAGGCACTCAATCAGCAGCGAGGTGCAGTAGACACAGTGTCTGGCTTTCCCTCTCTTCTGAGCCTTCTCTGCCATGCTGCACTCTGCTTGGGTGAAGAGAAGGGATGGACTATGGGGAGAAAGGGAATCAACTCTGCCAACAAAGGCAGATGGTGACAGCCTGGAGATTTAAAGCCCTTTTTTAAACTGCCCTGCAGCAAGAAGGCGCTGAAGCAGCAGACAAACATAAGGCAGTTTCTCAAAGGTGGCAGGATAGGTGTGACTCCAATGACAGACAGGTTTGGCCTGCCTCCAAAGCTGTATAGACAGAGATCCAATGTGATGGATCTGTGGCCCTCATTACAAGTAAGAAACATCATTTACAGGTAGCTATTCTAATTTCTTTTAGACCAAGACCCAACACCACAGCTTCAATTATACTAGTACATTAAAAACCACCACCCAAAATTGTGCCTAAATCTTCCAAAGTAACATTTTACAATTCTGTGATGCAAACCATTATAAAGAGGTGTCATTTTTCAACATTTTGCAGGTTATACCAGCACTGAATAAGCTGTACAGTTAGGGTTCATTTTTATACAATTCTATATTTTGAATTTTGTATATACTAATGTTTAGAAAAAAAGGACTTTTCAGTTTGTACATCATATCTACTTCTCCTTAAATGCATGTCAAAAAAGCACACTTTTTATTTGCATCCACTAAAACTTTTTTCCTACAGATTCCAAAGCATCAACTCACACTTCTAATTTAAAATCTAGGTTACTTTTAGAATGGATTACTTTATCATAAAGAATTAAAAGTACTTTTATAAGAATTTTAAATGTGCAATTTTGCTTTGTGGAAAATACTAAATATTTGGATTTACTTATATCTAATTCTATATCTCAGTAACTGTTAAAATATTAAGCATGGCCAGGACTATGCACCAAGGAAATTAACTTGCAAATCCTTATTTACATGAGTAGTACATAAGTGAGTAATCCTACTAATTCTGGAACTACTTGTATGAGCGAGAACTAAAAGCAAACAAGAATCTACAGGATTAGGCCCCAAGACACTGGTATAGTATTTAAAGAAAAAGCCCATTCAGTACACTGTTTGGAAGGACTGCTGAGAAGTAATTAAATCCCAATGTTTATGTTTTACTAAAGAATAGTTTTCAAAACCATTGTAGCATTTTCAAGAAATTAAAACAAAATAATCAAAAACAATTGGTATCTCTGCTGAAAAACAGTCATAAAAACAATATCTCATTAATAAAAAGAACACCCTAACCATAAACCCCCCCCACTAAAAACCATCGATGTTATTAGGAAAACAGATAAAAAGCATTGTTTTTGTATTTAACCTATAGTAGTACTCTTTGCTCAGACATCTTCCTTGCTGGTAAAAGCAGACTTGCTAAACAGTCATGGGGCATTAGACTCAAATACATCAAGCAGTAACTCTCGTCAATGAAGATATAGACATTCATCTACTGCATAGCAATTGCTTGTGTAATTCAGACTCTGCCCTAATACAAATAAAGTTAAATCGGACGTGCTGCCCTTCATGTGGTAATTTTGTCTGGATGAGCTGTCATTTTAAATTTGACTGAAAATAACTGTAGACACCTTAACTGGATTAAAAGAAGCACTAACTACTCCTCCACAATAAAGCCAATTACTTAACAGCAGGCATCCACTTCATCATCAATTAATCCAGTCAATGTGATCACTATTCAATGCACACAAAAAAGAGAGCTGCTTTAAAATAGTTTAATTAACTCAATATAGAGTAAATTTCACAGGAGAAATCCATGATCAATTTTACCAGACTTCATTATAGACATACATTCAAAGCTTCAAATTAATCTGAAGGGATACAACTTTGATTCTCCAACATGAAAAACTGTAGCCAGTTTTGCCTAATACATAAAAGGGTTTAGTTCTTCAAAAGGAGCAAGTGACCCCTATTAATGTTCCTGAGAATCACATATGTATTGAGAGATTAATCTCTTAAATGGGTCAAACACAGTTTGTAGGGCAAGCGCACACTTGGCTTCCCTGCACTGGTCTGCTTATTCTGTCACATTTTGCAACCAAATGTAATAGTACCAGTTATTTAATACAGACTACAAAGAAAATATTTTAACTTGAATATTCTAGACCAGGGGTCAGCAACGTTCGGCACGCGGCTCGCCAGGGTAAGCACCCTGGCGAACCGCGTGCCGAATGTTGCCGACCCCTGTTCTAGACCCTCACATATATTTTGCAGCTTAAACACACACACACACACACTCCTACCTCCATTATATTTCCAAACAAAGCACAAAAGCACAAAACGTGGGTTCCTAGATGTGACAGTACATCATGGCACAAATGGCTGGTTATAGAGGGTAAAATCTGTATGTGACCTAAGGGGCAACAGGATGAGTTTCAGAGCCTGAGCTCCAGCTCCAGGGAATGTCTACACTGCTATTTGTAGTGCTATAGCACAAGCCCCAGCTTGTAGACCAGGGCTCTGAGTCTTGCTGACACAGTTTCCTTTTTTTTTTTTTTTTTTTTTTAAAGTCAGTGTAGATATACCCTAGGTGACTTTGTCTCCTAAATCCCATTTTCAACAGTGACTTAGGCACTTGGGCAAAATAACTTAGTACGCAGACTTTTTATTTGCAAAGTTTTTACCAAAAAACAGTAATTAATCTTCACAACATGGACACTAATATGCCCATTTTATACAGGGAAACTGAGGATAACAAATTAAGTGACTTGTCCAAGGGGACAAAGTTCATCAGAACCAAATCTGGAATTGGAACTCAGGAGTATCTTGTCTCCCATTCCTGTGTTCAGATCACATCTCTCTCTCACTCAATATGATACTACAAGTCAAGGTCAGCAAGTTGCTTGACCTTGTCAATGAGAAGTTATCCCTTTTTAGGGGCGGACACCAACCTCAATATAATACTGAATTTATATATTCAGTTGAAACAATAATTAAAACTGGAGTATAAAATGCTTAAGGTATGTCTACACTGCAAGAAAAGATCTGCAGCTGGCCTAGGTCAGCTGACTCGGGCTTGGGGGCTCAGTGTGGGGCTAAAAAATTGCCATGTAGATGTTCAGGCTCAAGCTGGAGCCTCGACTGGGACTCTGCCTGGGGGGGG